CAACTCATTGTTCCAATCTTTTGAAATTATTCACCAAAGAACATGTGTAGATACACCTCAGCAAAATGGGATTACTAAAAGGAAAAATAGGTATGTCCTTGAAATTGCTAGATCATTAAGGTTTCAATGATTCCAATCAAGTTTTGGGTTCACTACAATCTAACAACTGTGTTTATCATTAACAGATTATCGTCTACTGTATTGGGAGGTAAAAGTCCATTTGAAATATTTCACATGAAGAGACCTTCTCTTGACCATATGAGGACACCGGGATGCCTTTGCTATGCCAAGAGGATGAATGTACACAACAAATTTAAAGCTAGAGTAATTGCAACAACTTTCATGGGATACTCAACTGTTATAAAGGGTTACATCCTATATGATTTGTCCAAGCACAGTTTCTTTACCAATGGAGATGTCACATTCATTGATAATACATTCTCATTCAGACTTGAGAAGCCACACATAGATAACATGTTTTTAGATGCCGGGAGTTTGGAGCAACCTAAACTTGTACAAGAGGCAGAAATGGACCTTATGGATTCAATAGTAGACAATGATGTAGCACAAGAGAGAGTACCACCAATGAAAATGGATATTCCATACACAACATGCCCAGATATGGTCTATGAAGATCCAACACCTGCAGCACCAGTTCAGCCACATGATACTTCTGAAGTCGTTCCAAATGGTGCTGACACAACTAGTCCATTACAGATGAATCCACCACCTTTACAAGAGGTCAGGAAATCCAGCAGAGACAAGAGAGTACCAATTTGGATGACAGACTATATCACTACCTCAAATCAGCAACCTCATTCCGTTAGCAATTCAGTGTGTTATTCCAACTGAAGCCAGATTATAAGACTTACTTGCAAGCTTTCTCTGTAGTAACTGAACCAAGATCATTTCATGAAGCATCACAAGACAAGAGATGGATTGAAACTATGAGAGCTGAGATCTAAGCTCTTGAAGATAATAAAACCTGGGAACTGATGCAACTACTAATAGGAAAGAAGCCAACAATCTGTAAATGGGTGTACAAAACAGATGGTAATGTTGAATGGTACAAGGCTAGGCTTGTGGCAAAGGTTACAACCAAAGGTAGGGGCTCGACTATCATAAAACCTTCTCCCCAGTGGTGAAGATAATGACTGTTAGAGCTATTATCTATGTTGTTACAACTGAAGGTCCATCAAATGGATGTCTATAATGTCTTTCTTCAAGGAAACTTGTATGATGAAGTGAATATGGATCTACCTGAAGGCTTTGCCAACCAGGAGGAGACTAAAGTGATGGTCTGCAGGCTAGTCAAATACCTGTGTGGACTAAAGCAGGCAAGTGGACAATGGAATGTGAAGCTAACTGAAGCATTGATCCAATAGGGGTTCACTCAAAGTTGTTTGGACTACTCGTTGTTTACAAGGAAGTAGGGAAGCAACATTGTATGTAGATGACATACTGGTTACAGGCAATAGCCTGCACATGATTCAAGATACAAAGATGAAGCTGCATAAGTCATTCAAAATTAAAGACCTAGGGGAACTAAGGTATTTCCGAGGAATTGAATTCTCTAGATCACTCAAGGGAATACTGATGAACCAAAGAAAATATGCACTAGAGCTTGAGTGTTGGAAAACCAAGATGGACTCCTCTTAGCAGTAATCAGAAGTTCACTACTAGACAGTTGGATACATTAACATGATTTCAAGCTGATGAGCCATTGGCGGACAAAGAAAAATACCAAAGACTCATAGGGTAGTTGTTGTATTTGACTTTGACCAGACTGGACATTGCATTATCAGTTCAGGCACTTAGTCAATTTTTGCAAGAGCCAAAGCAATCACATTGGTAAGCAACATTAAGGATAGTAAGATACGTGAAGAGAGAACTAAGACTTGGAGTTTTGATGAATAACAAGAGAGGAAATAAGTTGACTACTTTCTGTTATGCTGATTGGGCTTCATGCCCAAATACTAGAAGGTCAGTGACATAATTCATTTTGCAATATGGGGAGTCACTGATACCATAGAAATCCAAGAAGCAAAACACTGTATCAAAGAGCTTTGCAGAAGCAGAGTACAATGAGTTGTATCAGAATTAGTATGTTGATAAGTTTGTTTAAGGAGCTTGGAGGAGAAGTGGAATTACCAATAAATGTACATAGTGATAGGAAGGCAGCTTTGCAAATAACAATCAATTCTGTGTATCATGAGAAAACCAAGCATATCTAGATTGATTGTCACTTTATTAGAGAAAACATATAGTAGAGAGTAATCAAGACTGTGCATGTGTGTTCAAGGGATCAACTAGCATGTGTTAACCAAGGCATTACCAAGGCAACAACATGAATACCTAATATCCAAGCCGGGGAAGCTAAATGCTAAATGTATTTGCACCTCCAGCTTGAGGGGGAGTATTGAGAGTGAGGGTGTCACATGACATGTGTAGCTCGTGTGAGGAAGTTAGCTGGGTTAGTTGGTTAGGTAGTTAGTGGTGTAAATAGTGTAATTAATTACAAGGGGGGTTTGATTCCATTCTTTGCTTCAACGAAACAGGGACATTTCTATTTAAAATTTTTAGAAAAAAAAAAGAGCTCCC